ATATGTATATATATACATACATATATATATATATATATATATACACGTATATATACTTCTAAAAGTCGTGTATCATGCATAGGAACGTTGACGCCTGCAAGGCTCTGGTTTCTTTTTTAAATTTTTTATTCAATATAATTCATACATACAGAGCACCTGGGTTTTGAAAATCACTTAAATCTAGTAAAAATCCCAAATACTGTGGCAGTGCTGTCTGCTAGGAGGTATTCTGTGTTGCTTTGAACTTTAACACTACTTTTATGACTGTAGTAGTAATTATGTGTGTAAAACTATTATTACACTATTAGCTTAAATTTCTCCCTCCCCCAATTAATTGCCATTTTCTAATAACAAGCCCTGCTATATAAATGTATGTTTGTGAATATTACTATGTATAGTGTTACTAAATCTTTGTAGTAGTTCAGTTCTAATTGTTGATGGCTGATTAGATTAATAATTGATATGATTTATATAGCCCCTTCCTACAAAATGAACAAGACGCTGAATCTCAACAAATGCAGCAAATGAGAAATGAATTTAAATAATTCCAGAGTCAAAGCCAGAAGCTCTTTGACAGCCGGCATCCGCTCCATCATCATCTTTCTTTACTCTGCAGAACCTCTTTTGAGCGTACTCTGACAGATGTACAATTTATTTGATCAAATGTCAGACACAAATTAACTCTTAGTCTGATCCGATATTGGGTTTTACCGGGTGCTTCCAACTGAGAGGCCAGGTGTGGCTTGATGAAGTGACGCTGTTGGCGTGCTGATTGTCATTGAAAATTATCTGTTGCTCGTGCCTTGTTAACTTGCATTCTCCAAGGAATTGTCTGGTATGGTAGGTGCAGTGTGTGCTCCTAAAAATAGTGCAATAAACAATACCGTAAATGATTGAATAAACGTTGCACCAAACCTGATTTTTTTCAGCTAAGCACAGTCATATATTACCCTGTACAGTATGTAATGAAACACTTTTTTAAAGCCTGATCTGCCCAGTTAAGCAAAGTATGCAGTGCATACCCTGGCTAAAACAAATAAGAAAATATAGTAGTACAGTTTCTGCGTTTGATTTAGCGTTTCTTAGCCACAATCTTCTATATAAACCTTAATTTTTTCGAGTGGATTGCTGTAGTTTATTGGAAAAGCAAAGTTTTTTAATGTTTGGCCTATTTTGGTATCTAGGATAAGTTACATTCGGGCCTATTGCATCATACTTTCAGCTGCTTAGAATTTCCGCATGGCTGGTTTTCAATATCAACCAATCACGTATTGAGTGAGTCAATGGAATTCAGATATACTCTTTGATACCCTACAACACTTAAATTTGCTATTGTGACAACCGTGTGGTGGCGTCAGAATAGCCAATTTAACGCTGGAATGGAAGCGCTGCTTCCAAGAGTATGTGCGCATGCTCTTCTTCTCGCAAATCAGGACATTCACTGCCGATTGGGTATTCTATTTACATGCCTAATCTCAATGATTAAAGTTTAGATTAAATTTGCATGCATAATAACCGGTATAGAAGAAACTTTGAATTATTATTATTTGAATTGAAATATGTTAAAATAGAGGAATAGGAATTATTTTGAAAAGAAGATACTACAACCATGCCGGTATGAAAAAATAACATACATTTGTATTTTGGTTATAGCGCAATCTGATCCTGTATAGTAGTAGGCCTACAAACTTTTCCTACTAGCAGGCCCTAGCATCAGTGGTGTAGGGGGGGGGGGCCTTGAAATAAGGGAGCTGATGTGGTGGGAATGTAAAGTGGTGATCGGTGATTAGGTGAGGGGGATGTGGGGATCGGTGATTAGGTGAGGGGGATAACTCGCAAAATAATGTGATTTGAGGTGATTTTTAACTACAGTACTTGAGCATGATTACTAATTAAAATGACTATTTGATCAATTAATTCACTACCACAAAGACATCACTAGAATTATAATTTTGGAATTATTACAAAGAGTATTTGTTTTGGGTGTTTTATACACTAACAATCCATATCTAAGAAGAAAATACTTCATCTGATTGGCCATTTTAACGATGGTGGATAATAGGGTGACCACTGATTAGCTCTGTTGGCTAATCTGGTGGTAGCCACTGTGTGTGCGCTGAACCGTCAAGATCTGTAGGTCCCCGGTTCAATTCCCATCGCTGCTTCTCCTTGTGTTTCAGCTAGAGGGCTGAAATACAAGTTTCATTAGTGGACAAGTCTTCATAGGCTATCCTTGGTGTTTACACCGAATAAATCCAATCCAATCCACTGAAAATCAATGAACATGACCACTTACACATTGCCATCATTATCTTGCTTTTTACATTGCTTTCGTTGCTGCAGTGGACGTAGTTGATCTTGTTGTAAATACATTTTCACATTTATGTCTGATGATTAATATTTATGTTTAATTCAGGCCGAAGAAATATTCAATAGAATACTGAAAGCATTGGAAGGGAAACCTTGTGAAACAATGGTGTCAAGTTTCTTTGCTATTGAGAACAGCTTACCGTTCGCAAGGAGCAATGCTTCTAACATTATGAACCAGATTTTAAAGTTTGTAAAGAGGATGGTTAGGAAACTACCTTTAAAATGGCTGCTTGTTCAACAAGAAATCCAGAAGTTGAAAGTGGAACATATCTATTTACCAACCAAAGAGGTAAAGCATCTATTCAACATTCTTTAATTTTAAACTCCAAATTATACTCCCAAACATCCTGAAAAATCCTTTTTTTTTTCTGCATAAAAAGAATTTCAGCTGTTTATTTGTACTTATAGTCTTCTACACACGTAGAAGACTATAAGTCTTCATCAGGTGATCGCTTTAGTTGAGCATTGTGCAGTCAAAATAGATGCCCAAATGGTGCTGCTTGAGTATTTACATGACCTTGGCGAGATTCTCTACTTTCCTGATGACGACACCTTAAAGGACATAATTGTTTTAGATCTGATGAAAATAGTTGACATGTTTAAAACAATAATAACCGTTATTGATCCAAAGATTATGGTAAGTTAAACTTCACACAATTTTACATTTATTTATTTTAGTGATGTATTTTTGCAATAAAAGCATAGCCTGATATAGAATGATTAAATTTCAGGAAACAAAGCACAGAAAGGCCTGGAGAAGATTGGACTCAGGAGTCCTAGAGGAGCATCTGTTAAGACACCTCTGGAAGGACTTCAATTTTTTCAGATGAGATGTTTGACTTCTTTGTATCTCTCATGCAGAAATTTGTACTTGTGTGTGAGAAAAACATTACAATGGTATTTTTTTTCAATAATATTGTTTCTCTTTGCCCTAAGACTATGCTTTATCACATCAATTGATAAAAGCAAATTAAAATCATCATAGACATGTCATTCATTTGTTTAAAATGTTCTTTTTCTATTTTTGACAATTTTTGACATGAAGTGTTTACTTCTTTTCAGGGAGTTGAACGTATTTTCTACGTTCTTTCGCGCTTGAAGCCTAAACGAATAGATGCCACCCAAACTAACAATTACGGGATTCGCGCAGTTTCAATCTTTCATGACTTTGGTCGCTATCTACCTGACGATCTTTTCCAGCGTGGAGTAACTAAGTTCATTGAGAGATTCCAAGTACTGTAAAAGACAATGAGCGTACATTATCTTATGAGCACGTGGATTGGGTATCGATGAACTTCATCACATGGTTTTGAGTGTAGACTCAATCAAGCATCGTCGTATGTTTAAGGTATTTAGTGCAATTTAAGATTATTTATCTCTGCCAACTTAAGTGTACTTACATTACTTTGAATATAAATGACAAGTTTATTCATAATGGTACTAGGTAGATTATGGAATGTTACATTCGAAATTTGCCATGTCTAATTTTTTTTTAAACAATAGAAATGCAATACAGGTAATCGATACATTAATCATAATTTAAATAATGTTAGCATTACTGTAGTTTTGTTATATATTTCTTGAAATTCTGTTGAATAGTCATCTGTCTCTTATTATAAAGGCTTCTACATATCTTAATTGCAACTTTTACACCATCATTATCATCATCATCCATCATTATTATTATCATCATCATTGTCGTCTTCATTTGTACCAATCCCACCGCCATCATTATCGTCATTACCTTAATAAACAACAGTGGCGTTGAGAGCCAGTCAGGGGCCCGGGGCAACACCTCACACTGGGGCCCCCCTCCTTCACTTGGGACCCCCACTCGGCCGCTCCCCAAATTAAGTCTCCTCCTAAGAGTTTGTTCTGAAAACAAAAGTTTTCATCCTGGCTTGGGCTCGGGCCCTATGGAGATTTTTTTCTTACCCTAAAAATTTTTCATCTTGGTCCGGGCCCCCCAGTAGACCCGGGGCAGCGACCCCCCTGACCCCCCCTCTCGACGCCACTGAAACAACACCATCATCATTATTAAAAAATAAAAATTAAATACTGTATATAAAAGGAATACCATTTTACTATTGGAACATCAAGCACATAAAACACACACACCCCCATACAAAACCAGAACCAAAAGCACTTAAGTATCAAATATTATGTCTGATACATTATAGAAAATTGCTTATGACAGAGGCCTATGTTCGTTTTGCAAACAACAATCATCAGACGAAAAATCTTCAATGCCGCTCAGCTTACCCAGGAAGATGAACCATCGCCGACAGTATGTGCGAAGGTACTGCCTTCAATGACTTGAAACACCTAAGAAATCGGTTTTTTTAAATGTATTAATCATGTCATTAACATCAATAGATTTACGATCAGTTTTCTATTTGCTACAGGTGTTGATATTCCTTGAAACAGAACTAAAGATATTTTGTCAGAGCCGTGCAAGGGGCGTGGAATTAACAAGGTACATTGCTTGCAATTGTAGGAATGCTCACATGCATATTGTGCGCCAATTTGACATGGATGTGTTGCCATGTGGAAGCAATGGAATGGAAGTGACACATTACCGCCGACTATTTGAAGATGACATGCAACAAGGTAAATTGTGCACTTGTATAGCAGATATAGCTTTTGTGTCTATGCACTTTGCAGGACAACAGAAAAGAACAAAACCAAATAAATGGTTGAAGGAAGCGGTAAAAGAAAAAAAAAAAACCTGCAAAAATATAGAAAAGTAAAATTGCTGATCGTCAGTTCTGAAGGGGGTGGGGGAATGCCATAGTGTCCCATGGTTGGGGCTGAGGTGAGAAATTTCAAGGCCCCTCTAGACACTTGGAAATAGCACTCTCAGATGGTAAAAATACTTTTTTAAAGCAGTGTTCCTTGACAAAATTGTTGACCTTCTGCCCACAGGAGCTATGCTCCCCTTCCCTTAGACACCCTATGTCCTTGCAACTGGGAGACTGAGAGTTGTGATTATGGTACATCTAGATGCCTGGAAATTGCACTCATTCAGACTATTTTAATAGTCTAATATTTTATCTTTTTTAAAAGTTTGACAAATGTAGGGGGTCCTGCCGGCTGGGCACCACACTCCAAATGGTATATGTCCTACAGTCGATGTTGGAGACATATTGTGCTGTTATGTATCAACAAACCCTTTTTGGCCCTGGGTGCAATACAGCGAGGGCACTACTGGACCATGGGTAGGGATACCAAAGGTGCCCCTAGGGATCGGTGGCCCTGCAGACCGCCACACGAGAGCGCATAGGCGTTACACCACAGATCATGGATAATGGTTGAAAACTCTGTCTTAGGTTTCTGTCTTCTGGCCTTTTTTTCCATACTGATTTATGAAATCGTTGAAAAATTTGACATCGGGAATATAGCGTTGTATTCTTCGTCAATCAATAGAAAATTCAAAATTAGTGAGTGGTAAAATAATTGAGCTCTCATTTCGCCCACTGCTGGATTCACCACTGAACTCATGGGTACACATCCTTTTCCCTCTCTTTCTTCCTTTAAGTCTTCTCAATTTTTTTCTCTTTTTAATTTTTCGGCGGAACTGAGAGGGATGGGGACGGGGCCCCGTGGCTCCCCCGCTGGATTCGCCCCTATGTGAAAGGGGGTATAGCTTGGTGTGAGGGCTTATTACCTAACAGCTTTTGAGCCACCTGAAAATTAGTGTTTGTTCTTTCCCACTTCTGTCAATCTCAGCATGTATTTGAGTTGACTTTCTTAAATATTTTATTCACACCATTCAGTACCATTCAGGTATGGATTGATAACATTTATTTTGTAATTGTATACCATTGAATGAGGCTAAACTTAGTATTTATGTACTAATCAATAAATTGTAATCAACACTTCGTGTTACGGCTTACTAACAAAACAAATAAGTTTATATCAGTTTTAAAAAAACAGATTTTGACCGATTTGTTTTCAAAAACAAAAAAAAATAGCCCTTCAATTATCCCTGTTAAACAATGTTAATAATAATAAAAAAAAAAAAAAGAAGTAAAATTGGATAATGGTTTAAAAGAGCTCATGCTATTATTTTTCCCGAATCTCCAGTCAATTATTTTGTATATTCGTTTTTTTAAACCAACATTATGCATAAACAGAAAGTTAAAAAAAGTACTGAAATTTTGGGAGACCAGGGATCAATTGCGTTGGTATAATTTTTTTTTTTTTTTTTTAGTGAAAGTTTTAATTTTCTTTTAAATGGAGTGTCTAAAACTCATGTCAGATACAGTTGGGATAATTACGTTTTCAAGTAATAATTATCTTGTTTGTTAGGCTTTGTGGGTGACGTCACCATTGTGACAGTTTCTGACGATTTAAATATCAGCTGGAGAAGGTTTGGTGTCCGTTTTTGGGACTTAAGTGGTCGAAAGTGAACAAGTTCAATGCTGATGATACGCAGACTTATAAGGCTGCCAAAAATATGATGAATGACTGGAGGAGCAGCCTCAGTAACGATATTCATCAACGTAAAGTGTTGTGCACTGCTCTGAAACAACATAAGCTCAGGAAACTAGCTGAAGAATTGTTTGAGGGTGAAATTAGCGATGAAAATCTTGTTACGCGAGAAGCAGGTAAGTATCTCATGATTTCAGAAATACATCGCAAATTAACCTCACATTTTGTTCTGTAGCTTGTTTCTGTTTTGATACCAAAGTAAACAATAGTACACAGCAGAGTCAATGACATCATTAACTAAGTGTTTTTTTTACTCACTGTATAATCTGTATAATTTTTATGTAGAAAAATGGTTTAATGATCAAGATTTGCTGTTTATCTGTGACAATTTGGATCCCGAATCATGGAGGAGACTGGGAGTGCGTCTTGGACTCAAGTGGACCGATATAAAAAAGATAACAAAAAACTACAGACTGGTCGAAGACTGCATCATGGAATTGTTGGTTACTTGGAGGGATGACCAATCAAAGAGCCAACAAATACCAATCATGGTGAACACTTTGAGGCAACAGAAGCTTGTTGGACTTGCACAAAGTGTACGTGAAAGGCATGGCTACAGTGACAAGTCATAAGTTGCAACAACTCATATAAATCTGCTTGAAATTCCAACACCAATGCAAGGTACAGTAGTAAAAATCTATTTTAAAAAACTACTGCTATTCTACAAATGTATTACATTTTCGCACATCCTGAGAAACATTGCTTGTTGTATGCCCTTTTATACAAATAAATATATTTTAGACTATTCTCCTAGACCTCTAGCCAACTCAGACTCAGGGTCTGTGTGAGTTAAACGCAGACCCGACGGTGTGCGTCGGGTGCAGTCGCGTCGTAGAATATTAAACAAGTTAAATATTTCTCATGACAGCTGAAGACTGTCCCCGACGATTAATCGGGTCGGGCTGCGTCAGCTGACGCTGTCTGGGTTGGCCTTTAGTCACTTTGCATAATCACTTGACCCTTCGAACTGATCTGATCTACAAACGTGACCCCTGTTATATAGGTGAGGAACTCATTGTTCATTTTGTGCGTCCCAAAATACTTGTGAGGAAAATTTTTGCAAGTAATTCGGGTGGGAATCGAATCCAAGACCTCCTGGTATCATAACCATTAGACCACTATTTTTCACTTAGTATCTTTACGATTTTTAATTCAGAAAATATTTTGATGATTAAGATTTGCTGTTCATTTTATAAATATCTGTTTAAATCATACAGCACGCATTTTCTAAAAGGATTTGTCTATACAGTATTGTTATTGGAAATTTATGTGTTCTATCACAGGTTGCTTAGTTGATATTGACATAGTGTTTATCGCTAATAAACTTGATGGCAAAGATTTGACAAATTTCGTCATCTACCTTGGTATGGAGAAACATGAAATAAATCGAATTGAGTCAGACTTTTCACCACCAATTGTAGACGCCTGTATTGAAATGTTGGTACAGTGGCGAAGTAGACAGGAAGCTGAAGTAAATCATCTCAAATCAATTAGTGAAGCACTGAACAAAGTTGAACGAATAAATATAAAGAAAGAAATTGAGTTATACTGCCATGAAAGATGTGGAAAATTGAAGTAAAGGTGTAAAGGAACATTTTAAAGATAACAGTGCAATAAAAAATAACACCAGAATATATATTACCATGGTTACATACACCACAGTAGGCCTAACACGTTAGGACACTTTTTAATTAAGAAATTATATTTTGCTCTCCTTTCAATCATCAAAACTACATACTTTTGATGCTGTTATTCAGGACCATAGATACACAATATACATAAAAACATTAATGTTAACTTTTTCTTTTGATAATATATGTTTAAAAACCGAAAGGTCCACTGATTAATCTCGGATAAGAAAGTATAATACTTCAAGTATTGAAATCCTAATAATTACATAATTAATGTCGAAATATTGCATCCTAAAATAATGGCGTGCACTTCAATACTAGGAGTATGTATTATACTTTCTCATGTATATAAGATGTATATACGTTTTTTATATTAATTATGAAATTTAAGAAATATCATTACTTGTATTATATTGAAGTTCAGATTAATATATATACAATATATATCATACACCATTAGTGATGTCATCGCGAAGAAAACATTTTTTTAATAAACAATTTTTTACAAATTTACCAACATTTTACTACTCGTATTATCAAATATTCAGCAATTCTTTCTTAATTTTCAATTGATAACTAATTATTGAATAAAATACACAAATTAAGTAATTCAAACTACTGTTTCCTTTAGCACTGAGTTTCAAGTTTCAGTGCGTCTTTAGTTTCAGAATGTTCAAAGCCCAATTCAGAAAGCGTCATACGTTGCAGCCTGACACATTTAAACTTGTTGTAGCCTTGGGTACATTCACATTGTAGAATATTAAACATTTACTATTTTCATGACCCGAATACTGTCCACGACGATATATTAGGGAGTTTTCGATGCACGACGTTAAATTTAACGTTATTACCCAACATGCAGCGCAATAGCTCCGCCCCTTTTGTAAACAAATCGAAATATGCATGCGCAAACCCGTAACCAATGTACGTCGAGCACGTAAAATCCTGAAATTAACGTACTTTGCAACGCAAGATGAATAAATTATGATGTCATCCGTTAAAGTTAAGGTTAACGTCGTGCATCGAAAACTCCCTATTACGTCGATATGCGTCGTACGTCGTGCGTTTAAGCTTTAAATGAAATATAACTTAGTAAATTATCTTGTGCCGATCTCGCATACTCTTCTGCAGTATACTCAGCACAGTACAAACATATTTCGGGAAAAAATTTTGCAAGTAAATCGGGTAGAATCGAACTCACAACCTCCAGATAAATGTGCTCAGTGGGTTGCGAAACAGTGGCAGCTCCCCGATTTGCCCGACAGGGAGGGGACCATGTATCCAACAAGAGCAAAGTGGGCGTGGTCGGGCACTAAAGATCTTTCGAAAGTGGTCTACGGGCTAAGCTTCCTGAAAAAATTGACAATGTAGGGGTTTCAAAAGCTTATTTAATCGATTTTAGAGGAAAGGGCAGGGGAAAATGCAGGGGTGAAACGGTGCGATCGCATCGCACCCCCATAAATTGTATTAAGAAATATAATTGCATCATTGTTGACATAAATTAATATTGCTAAGATTTTTAAGGTTGCGAGTGCACTGGCACCCAGAGGCCGGTCCGTACTCTCAAAATGTTCGCACCTAGGCTCCAATCATGTTGGGGCTGAGGTGGTGTGGACTCATGCACCCATGGGCGCAGATCAATGGGCCAGCTGACACGTCTCCCACGTATTGTTAAGGGGGTGGCCCCCTTACCTTTCGTCCGCAGTGCAATTTCGTAAGTCAAGAAGATGCCCGAAGATTGTTAAAATAACCTGCACAAATGATCCATTTTTAAAGAAAGAGCGCTGTACAGCCAGAGTACATATTCTATTTTATAGCATGACATACCAATACATTTCTGCCCACAAACATCTGAATTACATTTATTTTCTATGGTACATCAACAGCGATTAATTTGAGCGACGATGATGCATTTTACTATATAAGAATGTCATATCCGGCAATCTAGAGTTACTATTTCCCCAAATTTTACTACCTCAGCCCCAACCGTGGGCCAGAGGTGGTTGTGGACTCGCGGTTTTGAAGTAGGTAAAGTAAATACATCGAAGACAATGTTTTTAAGTTTTATTTTCTATAGCACTGTACATCAAATATTAATTAGATCTTTAATGGTTGCTGAAATAGCTGATAAAATATCATGAGAACTTGTTGGCGCTCATTTTGACTATAATGGTGAGGTGATGATGAATTTTAACAGTGTCATTTTTAGCCATCTAAAGGACTATTTTCTCAAATTTTTTAACCTATGCCCCAACCATGGTGGAGCTGAGGTAAAGTGGCTTTGAAGTAGGTCAAGTAAATTAAATACATTAAAGTAAGTGCTTCCTTAATTTTATTTTCTATGGTACACAGCACTCATTAATTAGATCTATGTGGTTGCCGGTGCTGATAAAAGATCATAAGAAATTTGCTGGAGCTTCATATTTAGACTATAATGGTGATGTGATGATGATGAATTTTACTATATAAACGTGTCATTTCCGGCCATCTAATGGTGCTACTATTTCCTCAATTTTTTTTTTTGCACCTCAGCCCCAAACATGGTGGGGCTGAGGTGGTTGTGAACTCGCGGTTTTGAAGTAGGTAAAGTAAAAACAGTACATCAAGGACAATGTTTTTAAGTTTTATTGTCTATGGTATAATCACACTTATTAATTAGGTCCGAGGTTGCCGAAAATAAAAGATCATGAGAATTTGTTGGTGGTTAATTTTGACTAATGGTAATGTGATGATGATAAATTTTACTATATAAAAGTGTCATTTCCAATTTTTTGTTAATTATTTTTTTAATTCATAAGTAGCATTTGTAATTCTATTTCTATGTAAATGTTCTGTTGATTTTTATTATCATTATTTTTTTTTGTGGGGGGGGGGGGGGGGGAGGGAATAAGGATAAATGCAATAATAGTAAGCCTGTAGTTTCACCTAGCCTTAATACATGAGTCTCATCGAAGATTATGTTCTAGGCCTACAGCATAGGAATGATAAATTTAAACTCCAATTTAATTTCATATTTTGTTTAACATATCTGAAATATGGAATTGTTTTTGTATAAAATTACTAAAAATGAAACGAAACGAAGCGTGAAGTGGGATTACCCAAAGAGCAATGGTATATAGGCACATTTACAAATATACGGTACTTACGCTACAAGAACTCTGAGGGCGCCAAGCGGAGTATATCCAAAGGTGACTGGCGCAAACGCAACGAAATTCAGAAATTCACCGGAACTATAAAAAGTAGCAACAAATTAATAATTAATTATAACAAAATCATTATCACTGGTTGAAACATCAAAAACTTACGATAAGAAAATAAAATGTTAAAATAGAACTAATCAAAATAAAATCCATAAGGTGGATTTCTCTTTCCTATACAATAAATTTATATTATGTAGGAGTATTTAAATATAGTTTGTTCGTGTTTTTTTTTTTTTTTTTTCATTGACAATGTTACTCAGCATGTTATTATCGATAATAGAAGGAATAACTATTTACGGTATTAAACATAATGGTAAATATTAATTACCGTAATATTAGGCCTACCAGACGGAGATCTATAGTAACATAATGCGCAAACCAAGTTAAAAACTACATCAGCGCCCTCTGGTGTCAACTGAACTCAATGGGTTGATTAATCTTCCAGAAATAAAATTTATTTTTAAATATTGTTAAACAAAATATCACGAGTTAAAAGTCGGAAGACTTTCCATTGGGGTCCTTTTAGTGGTGAATAGGCAGTAAATTTTGAGACAATCTCACTCTTTTCGCAAAATGTACTGCGTTATTTAACTTGTACACTTACTAAACAATCTTTCGTTCCCTTTTCATACAATTTATTTTCATACCGATGATCTAGTCTAACTTTTAAGTTTAATGTATTATGTTGGGTCGAAGTACTTCTTTGATATAATTTTAATATCGTGTATGCCTGCGGCACGAAGCATTCTTTTATGTTCAACCTTCTATAATAACACCTACTTATAAGGTTATATTTCTTGCTGTCAATAACCATAGCTGTGCGTGACTTGACTGAATAGGTTCGAACAAATATTTTGTAAACCAAATGCTTGTTTAAGTCTGAAAAAATAATGAATACAAAAGTGAAATACAGTTTAACGACCTAATAATTTGCAGAGGATTATAGACCTACTTGTTTGCATTATACTTTACCGAACTCCGCATTGTTGAATATATTGAATAGACCTATTTTCAAAGTACGTTAAACTTTACCAACAATAACATGTTTGCCATGAAGTGACTCGTCGGCACAAAATATTTCTTTAGATGTACAACACAGATTTACCAAGGTTATAATTTTTGCGTGAAAGAATGCTGCGTTTTATTATTCTTTGCGAGACCTTTTGAGGCCACGGTGTCTAGGAAGTGGCCCTAAAAATTACGATGACAATGAGGATAAAAACAGTAATATCATTAATATTTATTTCCTCTACTCCAACATAACATAGTGAACATATGCAGAGGATGGGGATCTACAGGAGAAACAAATTTCTTCTACAATTATGTTTATAATAATAACTAATAATTAATTAATCATAATAAGTAATAATAATGAATATTAATAACTTATTAATAATATTATTTAAAAGGAATAATATTAATATAAACAATAAATAATAAATAATAAAAATAATAATAAATTACATTAACAGCAATAATAATAATAATAATAATGAATAATAATAAATATAATAATAATAGTTACAATAATAATAACAATAATGATGATGATAGTAATAGTAATAATAATAATTATTATTATTATTACTATTATTATTATTACTATTATTATTATTATTATTACCTTATATTGATAATATAATAATAATGATGATAATAATAATATTAATAATAATAATAATAATAATAATAATAATAATAATAATAATAATAATAATAATAACAACAACAACAAGAGCACTCAGTAAAGAACATTCCTCAGCCCACCGCAATTTTCTTTCTATAAAACAAATCACAAAAAATATGTTTCTAATTTACTTAGCCACCACTACTGCCACCCCAACTCGCTTCGGTCTGTTCTTTTTCAAAAACACGTACAGTAACTCGCTCAAACACCTTCTTTCATTTAAAAAAAGGGGCACTATTTTCAATTTTGTCTGGCTTTTTGTGGACTCTTTTTTCGAGTGAACATATTCAAATTTTGTAATCCGAAATGCCTTTCCCAAAGTTTACCGTAGGCCAACTTTGTGACAAGCCAACTAATTTTCTAACCACTAAATATGCTAACCCGGCCAACCAGAAACACTTTATATCGTATTAACTGTATACCTGCCATTCCCTACTTCATCTGGTTGAACACACTGGAACGTTTTACTCGTATAATTGACAAAAAGAATACATGCTAAGTATCGGTGTTGATACGGAAATATTACGCAAACAATCAAATTCCCCCCCCCCCCCAAAAAAAAGTGAAGTTAGTACATATGAAACGCTGTACATATTTACTGAACTTGCACTAATTTCAATATTCATCATATAACCTGTATCCTCCTACGGTATATGGTAACCATATTATAAAATGATCATTAAATTCTTACCCTACGTCTGATTGTCCCCGAAAATAAAATTTAAAAAAAATTAAAAAAAAATCTTCATTGATACATGAAAAAATACTCAAAAAAGTTTAATTTTGATCCATGATCTATTTTAGAGATTTATGTCAGGGACCAAGTCACACCCGAATTTGTGTACTTGCACTAATTTCAATATTCATCATATAACCTGTATCTGCCTACGGTATATGGTAACCATATTCTAAAAATAATGATCATTATATTCGTACTCTACGTTTGATTGTCCCCGAAAATAAAATTTAAAAAAAAAAAAAATTCATTGATATACGAAAAAATACTCAAAAAAGTTTAATTTTGATCCATGATCTATTTTAGAGAGATTTATGTCAGGGACGAAATCACACCCGAATTTGTGTCGTCACCAAACTGATAATTTATTTCTTATAAATTGTTTAAACTTTCACGAATGTTTTATTCAGATGAGTTGTTTAGTTTTTGAAATATATGGTCTAGGATGTTTTCATTGAAATGATCCTCATATCTACACTCTACTCTGGACCGTCATTTAAATTAAATCATTCTTCATTGGGTCATAACACTCCGTGTAAAATTTATTTAGATCTTTGCAATCGTTTTTGAGATATTTTGGACACACAAACACACGAAAACTCCAAGGTGACACACACATATATACATACACCCCAACCTACACCCCACCCCCATACACCGACCCATTCAAACACACATAACATTAAAAAAAAAAACTTAGGCCTAGGTCTGTATCCTTTGACTCAAGGCCATGAAATCAAAATGCCTTTGCTAGATAATGAAATCGAACTGGAGTTTGTATTTCAGTCTGATTAGAATAGGCTATACCACGGCTTGGCTATTACTATATTATTTAAATATACAATTTTGATAAATAAGATTATTTTAACATTGGAAATTTAAATGTAAATATAATGACGTTAACGAATAAATAACAATAATTAAAACGAGGCCTTTTCTATGAATGGATTGACCTGTAGGAAACACGAACTCCTGAAGACCGAACCCAGTACCGTTACGATTTTAATCGTGCAGGAAATATCCTCAAAATGTATTTTGGAAAGACGTTTTTCCAAGATAACCTATCTTGGAAATCCGTCTTTCCAAGATAATTTATCTTGGAATTCCGTCTTTCCAAGATACGTTATCTTGGAATTCCGTCTTTCCAAGATACGTTATCTTTGATTTCCATCATTCTAAGATACTTATCTTGGAATTCCGTCTTTCCAAGATACGTTATCTTGGAATTCCGTCTTTCCGAGATAAATTATCTCGGAAAGACGTCTTAATAAGTGTTTATTCCATGTTTCCAAGATAATTATCTTGGAAACTCGGAAACTCGGAAGGTCACTTTAAGCTTCCGTAATATCCTTTGACTCAAGGCCATGAAATCGAAATGCCTTTGCTAGATAATGAAATCGAACTGGAGTTTGTATTTCAGTCTGTTTATAATGTGTTTATTCTCTGTTGATTTGGCGTATCATATCAAATAGGCGATCTACATTGTCGCAAGTTCCTTATGTTTAAGATATTGTGGTTTATGGTTTGTAATTAATGTTTCCGTGATGCGAAACATATCACTTTGGAGTAGATTTGATTATTGGTGTTTTCAGTGCTTCCCTTCTAATCTAATCTAATAATAATAATGATAATTATAATAATAATAATGATGATAATAATAATGATGATGATAATAATGATGATGATGATGATAATAATAATAATAATAATAATAATAATAATAATAATAATAATAATAATAATAATAATAATAATAATAATAATAATAATAATGAAACGATAGACCTTGCGGTAGACTACATTTTACATTTTTTTAAATTTCATTATTTGTTCAATGGTTCATATTATGATCAAGTGGATGGGGTATCAATGGGGTCCCCTCTAGACCCAGTGCTTGCAAACCTATTCATGGGGCACCATGAAAAGATCTGGCTTAATCAATATCATGGACCTAATGTGCTATTCTATCAACAGTAGTGACGTTGACGATATTTTTTGCCTATTTAAATCAGAAACTGAGGCTAATTCATTTTTTCAATATTTAAACTCACGTCATAACATAAAATTCACAATGGAAACTGAAGTGGAAAACAAACTTCCCTTCCTTGATGTCCTAGTTTCAAAATCTACTAACGGATCCACCCAAACCAATGTACAGTATATCGAAAAAAAACTTTCACAGGATTACTCACAAATTTCTTTAGTTTTGGCTCTTTTCCATACAAAATTTCATTGATTCGTACTTTAGTCGACAGAACTTATAAGACCAACAATAATTGGATAGGTTTTCATAGTGACCTCAAGGCTCTAATTGTTATCCTTAGAAAAAATATGTTTCAATGTATTTAATTGACAACATTATTTCTAGGTATCTTGTCTTTATTCACTTCGATAACAAACAAACGAACGAAAAATCGAATATACGTTATTTCAAGTTGCCTTACACTGGTAAATTTTCTAAAGTTATTTCACATAAGATAAATGCTTTAACAAAACAGTTTTGTAATGATTTAAATATCAAATTGGTTTTTTCTTCATTTAAAATTAGAAATATGTTTTTTTGTGAAAGATCCTGTCCCTAGTGGTCTACGTTCTAACGTTGTGTATAAATTCACGTGGGCAGGCTGTAATGCCTGTTATAGGGCCTATGGGCGAAACTGGCCGACACTTTGCAACGCGCGCGAACACATGACCACGGACAGGAACTGGCACTCATTATCCCAATGTAAAACCTCATGCAACGAAGATTGCTTTCGTGTAATGTGTTCCGCTTCAACAGCCAGCCAAAGAAAAATCAAGGAGGCGTTGCATATAAAATGGGACACGCCCTCTCTCAACAAGCAACTTTTATATGCTAATTTAACTTTGTCATTCTGATGTTCATCATTACGTTATCATCTTTATTCATGCGATTCTTTCTTCTTTACAATTACAGTCACATCGATTCTCTAAAAATGCAATGTCATGATGTCTGTTCAAATAGCTATGGTTCAATTCCCATTTATTTAAAATACAATGCTTCACAGTTGTTCACTCCCTATAGTAGATTGCATGTTAGCATTCGTTTCACTGAAGATGGCGAAGGATTTGCCGAAACATGTCTGTTTTATAGTATACCGAGTTTTGATAATAAAATTCATTAGGCTTTGCCTATATGGTATTGAGGTTGAAAATTATTGTGGTATTCTTAAGAATAATAATAATAATAATAATAATAATAATAATAATAATAATAATAATAATAATAATAATAATAATAATAATAATAATAATAATACACTTAACCCCGCTCTGCGCCCCTATGTGAACCACAACCCCTGTGATTTGACACCCAGAAACATTTTCCGGCGGCTGTGATCAATAGCTAACCAGGCCTCGACCCCTAGAACTTCAATATTATCATGAACCCTGAATATACCAACTGTTGCCCCATCGTCACTTTATCTTCATTGCTCGTTATTGATTTTTTTTTTATAAATATTATAAAACCTCCATGATATGAATAACTGAAATACCGATACAATAATGACGTGGTACGGAAAATGACTCCATTATAACCAGTAATCCTTTGATCATCACAATCTTCCATCAACCATGAGAAATCATAACAATACACTGTCAACGGTTTAGCCAAGCGTGTTTTCCAAAATTGGATCTTCTATACCGGTACGTATACATATTAAAGATTCATACACATCAGTTGGTTAAGCTAACAGTAGTCACAAATCACAAAGCTTTTATTAAACCGGAGACTATTATTCAAGACAACTATACTTGTATAATTGTCTCAGATTCAATCATACTTCTTATGAACTTGCTGTTATACAGGCTCGTGTATTTAGAACTTCAAGGTATAAAATTTTCACTCTATTAAAAAGACATTTTAAATGATACACCCGATGTATAGGCCTACATTGCGGTAGATTATTGCCGCGTCATGCGTGCATCATTATTTAGTTATAATCAAAATGAATCCTATGATCAATTTTAAATATTTAAAAAACGATAATTTTTTTCTTTCTTTGATCGTGATTGTCAACTGATTATTAGTTTAGACGAATTTACTTTAGGCAGGTTTACGTATATACGTATATAACGCAGCACGTCGTGGCAACACGATTTTGAATATTAGACCTTCTCCGTTAAAACATTCGTCTATTGTAATGCACTCGAGAAGTAATTACACGGACCTGCGGCTAGCGAAACAACAGCAAACGCTATAAAATATGAACTCTGTATTTTAACATAAGCGTAGTGCAATAAATATAAATGATGATTCTAGCCAAAAATGTAGTTTTTAATCTTACCATTTCTATAGAATTGCTTAAACCTTAGGTACCAAGCGTCGCTCTCGAATAAGCTCCACTCTCAAATAATTAATTAAGCGCCGCACCAAACCTGATTTCTTCGCTAACTGATACAATTATAATAATACAAAAATAAACAAAATATAGCAACAATCACAAAAAATGGAAAAACATTATTATCTTGGGCCCTAGAAGTAGGTACTTGTTTCTTTAGGACCCAGTAAAGAGGTAAAAAGGAATTAAATGAAAAAGACAAAAAAACTAAATATTTATATAATAATATGAATCCTTTTTTTCTACTTATATTTTTTATCAATTGAAGTTATTCATATTTCGTAAAATAGTAATTAATAAATGCAGTAAGTAATGTCGTAGGCCTACAGTATACAGTGTTAAAATCAATAAATAACACAATGAAGAGACAAGCATTTCTTTATAAACGTTTATTTACGTTTGCAGTACAAGTTTACATAAAACAAATTTTGCAGACAGGACTTTTAGTTGCACATTAAAATTCTCTTTTTATAGACTGAATACGGTTTCAGTCGGGACCTATATCAGTATTTAAACAGGAACGAACATAATACGCCGTAATCTGTTATTAACGACCAAAGGAGAATCTTGCAGCGTATGTCATCACGTGGATAAGTTAGCCAATCATAACGTTTGCTTGTATACTTGCAATCAATCAAAAACCATACTCAACAATCTGTTAGTTAGCATACTGTATACAACTACTGTACCGAGCAAACCACATACAGTCAGCGTACGAATACGGCTACTTTACAGAGCAAACACCAACCTGTTAGCGTACCGTATACGACTACCGAGCAAACCACACTCACCAACCTGTTAGCGTACTTTATACGATTACTGTACCGAGCAAACCACACTCACCAACCTGTTAGCGTTCTGTATACGATAACTGTACCGAGTAAGCCACACTCACCAATCTTGCGTACTGTATACGATTGTACCGAGCAAACCACACTCACCAACCTATTGGCGTACTGTATACAATTACTGTACCGAGCAAACCACACTCACCAACTTTGCGTACTGTACCTATACGATTACTGTACCGTAACTATATAAGAGCACTGTCTGTAATCTACACGCAAAAAAGATGGCTTCACCGCAATATACAGCGTAAGTGTTAACCAATATTACTTTACATGTGTTTTAGATTTACGTCATAACGTAGTTTTATACATATTCTAACTTGCATAATTGATTAAATAATGTTGGAAATGAAAAGAAAATTTATTATAATGAAATTAAAATGGTATATTCACCAATAAAAATAAAATCGACATCGGAATTTTTATTAGGCTAAGCAAAGAAATCAATCAATAATTTATGTAAAATGATTGTTTTTCTTTTTAAATAACTTGAAGCATTATTAAAGCCTAATGATAGACTATAATAATGGTGATGTTAATAATCATTCAGACCACAGCACCTCCTGGATTCAAAAGTTGACAAACCCGCCTCCGTTCCATTGAGGACGTACAGTATTTCTAGATGTCGGATGCACGGCATTGAGGACAGAATGTACATCAATGTTATGTATAGTAGTAGATTATAAAAAGTTAATTAATTTATTAGTAATCAAAATGAATATGTTATAATCAATTACTATAATATTTATCATGCATATATTTTGTCGGTTTACTGATATTTCAGTATAACTGATTTATTAGCTATTTTATTAGTAAAGTAGAGTAACTTTGTTTTCTTTTGTCATCGCAGTCTCAGCTTATTCAACGCTGTATTTAACAATAAATGGGATGAAGTAAGAAACATTATCAGAGCCGCTCCAGAACTCGTAAATGAAAGACCGGTATGTAATGTATACAGTACTCAAATATAGTTCAACATCATTTAATTCAAAGGATAATTACAACAAATTGTAATATTAGTTATATTATTAATAAAGCACATTTCTTGCAAATATAAGCTCATCATGCAATGTCACCATTAAAGACATTATTAGGGCGAAATAAGAATGACACTGAAACAAAAACTAATAAATGTATAATTTAATCAATATTTAATATTGTGCCAAAAAAAAACTTTAAAAAAAAAATCTTTAAAAACCTTTTTTTTAAATTAACACAAACATATCAACCTGAACATATAAATTAATGTATTTAAAAATGTTTACAGATAATTCTACAGCGAAAATTATAGAAACACAAATTCACAGAAATTGTATATTATTTGTATTGTAATTATCAAGTCAAGTTAAAAATAGCAGGGTACAAACTTATTAACTTCATAATTGTTATGCTCAAATTAATTTTTTGTATACTAGTGCAAAATTAGCAAATTGATTTCAATTATGTTTTAAATGATTTGTTAGTCATTTTTAGAGGGCTATACATCTTTAAGGACTAGGCGTACATAGTACACTGATACCACTAGTTTAAAAATCAAAGTTTATTTCTTATAATTACCACAGTGTGCTTACTAGCATACCGGTCAAAAGATACTTGGTTGCATTGTTTAATCCTATCAAATAGTGTTACACATTCCTTAATATTTCTCACAAAAGGTTAATCAATTCAGTCAATAATGTATTTACAATAGAAAGTTAATGGCAATGGGTGTAATATTTGAATTATTGTTTGAACTTTGATTGTGTGAGCTCTTCTAGCACCAAAACTCTCTAAACTTGCTCTGACAACAAAATATTTAAGTCTAGCGCCCTCATTAGTGTAAAATCTACCTATTTTAAGAACCTTATTAAGATACTTGATATTGCTTATTAGCGACACTACTTATAATCTAAATATTGTTGTTTAAAACTATTATGTTAGATTAGATTATTCAATACTATTCTTTTGTATAACTTAAATACTCCGCCTTAAATTTATTAATTTGCGCTTAATAATAAAAGTAATTGCACTTGTTCACTCTACTAGAAATTGCTTGTAAGCAATTGTTACACTGAAGATGGCAGTTATACTAAAGAAACATGTTGTATCCAGTTTAGCCTAAATGCTTGAAATTGGTTGTGATTATTAAGACGTTTTTGTTGTTGTAATCATTCAAAACTTTTGTATAAAGAACCTCTAGTCTCATTATTCACTTTTTTTTGTTTAAAAATAACAACAATGACGACGACGATGATAATAAATGAAATTGATAATAATTTGATAGATTGATCACAAACAATATTAATAATGCTATATAATGATAATGATAATAAACAGTAGAGAAATTCCGGTAATTAAAGTACTTATTACAAGACACTAATATAAATCTTTTTGTTAACATTTCTAGAGTCATCTTAGATAGCATCAACAATTTTAATTTTTGGTGCTTTTTGGTTTTAGGTTTGGTTTTTCTCCTGTTTTCCGTATATCTATGTTATATCAAATAATGAATCAAAATCATACCAAATTAGACCATACACAATGATACAATTATACAATTAATTAATCATCATTAATTAATTATCATTGATGCAATGATACAGTTGTAAAATGTCCATCATCAGAGTCTTCTCCCCCTGCACCAGCCACCAGCGGTTTCACCCTATGACCCCTGGCCATGGCCCATGCGCAGCTGAACCATTCACTCACAAACGTAGGTACAGTAAGAGCCTATTCTTTATGCCATTATGCCGACTTCTTGAGTATCGCTACTGAAGTTATTGTGTGCTCATGATCAGTTTGTTATTTTTTATTTATTTTATAGTTACTTAACTTTATTTACCAACGGTAAGCAATTACTAACAATCATGTGGCCCTCGCATTAAAAACAAAAACGTAAACGACAAAGCAAAGTTAAAAAATAAAAAGCATATAATGATAAAACAATTATTGGAATAATAAAATTCAATAAAGAGTAAGTGTATATATAAATAGAATAAATATGGAATATGTATATACATAGTTAAAAGCATTATATGTTACGGTGACCTTCACCTTTGGGATGTAAGATATTCTTAACATGTTTTAAATAAGATTAGGGCCTACAGAGGACGCATTTCTAATTTCATGTTGTAGAGAATTTAAACATTTTGGAGATTGTAGACAAAACTGTCCTTTGTGCATGGATTAGTGGTTGAAAAGTCTTCAATTTTTTGGTGGTGTGTTATCATAAAAAAGAAAGTTATTGCAATGGGCCTATTCATCCAATAGTTTAGTAGTAATAATAATAATCATAATAATAATAATAGTTAAATAAAATTATTATTATTATTAATTGTTTTTATTTTTATTATTATTATTATTATTTTTATTATTATTATTATTATTATTAATTATTATCATTTTTAGCAGGAAATAGGTACATGATTTTTGTAGGAAGATAGAAAGATGGTACAAATAGCATCTGAACTAAAGAGGGCGCTAGATAAGTATTTTTGGTTGTCAGAGATTCATCGAGGTATCTTAATTACTGTGAAAACAGTAACAAAAACAAAAATAATATTTTTTCCTAATAGAACTAATTGAAAAAGAATCATATCAAAAGTTGCTATAATTGAAATAGGTTACATTACACAGAAGACTAGTAGTTACCCACCTGAGAGAATTGAAATGCGTGAGTGACTGCTTCGACGGTCTGAGAATTTTGAGAAGCTAATTTTTTCAGGGAGTGTTTGTTGACAATAGCAGGTACATCAACAAAAATATTTTTAATAAAGCCACGTAGGCCTACAATTTGCGTTTCACTTTATGTTTAATTGCAGCACACAAACATATCATTAGGCCTACTTAAACAATCAAGAAATGAATTGGATACTAATCAATTTTTAGTAACTTGTCAGTGAATTAATGTATTCACGTACTTTTGTACTTACAACTGTGTGAGTTTGATGCTGGCAACTGCACTCTCTAACCATTTTGTATATCTTAAATAAAATCAATTTCTTCTAATTTTAAATACATTTTCCCTGGATTTGTGATAATTCGGTATACGCATGGACAGCTAAATGCGTGACAAATTAATGATCTCGCGTGTGTTTCTTTAAAATGCGTGTTTCATCTAAAATCAATTGAAATGAGAGACTGTTGGTAACAATTCAAAAGATGTCAACCATTTTAATTTTTAGCAAAATCAAAACTATAAGTAGGACCGTATTGATGAAATCTTAGTATACTGGATTCGCCAATTAAATAAGAATATTTGGTATAGCATATTTTTTTATTATTAATCACTCTTTTAAATATTCTTTATAACATTACAAACCTACCATGTATGGACTATGCCTCTGGCTTTTGAATTATTTATTTGAAGGACAAGAAGTGTTTAGAGTTGATAAGTTCCGAGTTATAAGCAACTTATTATACCGTACTTTATGAAAGTAATCTGCTTGCCGGAAAGACCATTGGAAATTTCACAATTTCAAATGCTATTATTTTCATTTGTACTACAATACATTATTACGGCAACTATGGGATTAATCTAATGCTTTACTTCCTGCTTATGAGTTTATTTTCTCCTTGTTGTGTAAAATCATCACAAAATGAAAGTGATGGAGCCTAGATTTGCTCGATGGCAGGGGAGGGGCAATGTTCCAGTACATCTGAAGGGTCCCATTGGGGCGCTTCCAGACCCGTAAGCTCTGACAATTGAGATATTTATATTTTTTATGCTTAAGGTTCGTAATCGATTGCACAGCCTCATATTCTGTAAAAGCTACATATGAAGAAGTATTTTCGATTTTAAAAATGACTATTATTGTTTGATTGATTTATACAAAATAACTAGAGACTTCCTCATGAACGTAGGGATTACGACAAAAGAATTGATTGATATTGTATTTCTAATTGTCCTAATATAAATGGGTCTAATTAGGCCTAAAGTAGAGAGATATGTTTCTCTGTCAAGTTATACGAAAACCATCAATCTAAAAACCAGACCTACTAATATGTAATTGTTAACCACGAAATATTTAATATCAGTTATCATGCCTTTATCAATAGTTAAATGTGAAGTTAATATGGGGACAATTTGTGAATGTGAAGTCTTACATCAAAGTATTATTCTGGATCGCGAGAAAATTTAACTTAAACATGTTGGCTTAGTGTCCCCACTTAATTTGGTTCAAAACACAGCCAATGAATGAATGAATCAATCATCAATCAAATTAC